AATACAAAGACCTAAGAAGAATCCATGCATTCCTTTCTATTTTTTTAAATGCATTTCAATTGTGGTGCTAGCAAAGAATATTGAAGGTACCATGGACAAGTACCTTGGAAAGTACCATGGCTAAAAGGACAAATGGATATGTATTGGAAAAAATAAGGCCAGAGTGCTCCTTAGAGGTAAGGATGACAAGACTTCATCTCACATACTTTGAACATATTATCAGGTGAGACCAGTCCTTCGATGTCCTTTTCCAAGGTAAAGTAGAGGAGTCTTGAGAAAGAGGAAGTCTCTCAAGGAGATGGATTGACACAGTGGCTTCATCAATGGGCTCAAGCGAAGTCTCTCAAGGAGATGGATTGACACAGTGGCTTCATCAATGGGCTCAAGCATAGGAACCATTGTGAGCATTTCACAAGACTGGGAAGTGCTTCGTTCTGCTGTGCATAGGTTCGCTATGGGTCAGGGGCAACTTAATGACATCTAAGAAAGAGCATGTGTGTGAGGAACTGTGGCTATTAAGCTCTGTCAAGCCTGTTCTGACTCATGGTGACCCTCGATACAATAAAATGAAACACTACCTTGTTCTACGCTAGCCTCACCATTGCTCTTATGTTTGATCCCATGATTGTACTGTATTGAGCCACTGTGTCACTCCATCTCGTTGATGCCTTCCTTTTTTGTCACTGACACTGTCCTCTCCCAAAAGTCTATCTTTTTCAAGGACTGCTAACGTGTCCAAAGCACGTGAGATGAACTCTCCCCATGCTCACGTTCAAGGAGCATTCTGACTGAACTTCCAAGACGGATTTGTTTGTTCTTTTGGCTGTCCAGGATACTTTCAATTTTCTTTTCCAATACCAAAATTCATCAGTGTTTTTGTGGTGGTCTTGCTTATTTATCATCCAACTTCCACATACAAAAGAGATTATTGTTAATATCCTGACTTGGGTCATTGACATCAAAGCCCTCAAAGTGACATAGCTCATGTCTCCAACACTTTAAAGAGACCTCGTGCAATGGATTTTTCCCATGCAATATGCGGTTTGATTTGTTCACTGTTCTGTCCCTAAGCATTGAAGGCGGAACCAAGAACTAAATCCATGACAACTTCAATTTATTCTCCTTTCATCATGATATCTATTGGTCAATTTGTAATGATTTCAGTTTTCTTTACATTAAGTTACAATGCACACAGAAGACTGAAGTTGATCATTTTCATCAGCAAGTGCCTCAAGTCATCCTTGCTTTCAGCAAGCAAGGCTATCTCATCTGCATATCACTGGTTGTTAATAAGTCTTCCTATAATCTTGATGTCACATTCTTCTTCATAGTTTAAAGTCTCTGCTCGTTTACTCAGCTTACATAATGAATATGTACAGTGAAAGTGTAAAATCCTGGGGAACAGTTCCTGATTTTAAAGCAAGTAGTATTTCTTTGTTTCTGTTTAAGTCTAGCTGCTGGTCTGTGCACAGATTCCACATGAGTACAATGAAGAGTTCTAGAATTCACATTCTTCACAGTTATCTATAGTTTATTATGATCCACACAGTTGAAATAGGATGAAAATATTAATTTAAAAAATGTTGCCTTGAGGAGTAAACACCAAAGGAAACATAGGAAAAGTTATCTCTTCTAATTAAATCCTTTTAGATAGACAAATTATTTCAAAAGAACATTATAGAAAGAAATCCTTTCATGATGTGGAAAGGACTTACTTTTAACATTGTTCAGTGAAAATGAAAAGTCTTGTGGAGAGATTCTTCAGAGAAAAAGAATATTCTTAGTAAAACTATGTGGAACACAAGGGGAGAATATGCCTAATACTGGTTTCCTAAATGAAACCTTTTGACCTAGATTGAGGGGAAATGGGAAACTAATAATAATGAGCACAAGAATGAAAAAATGTTCTAGAATTGATGTTGGTGATTATTGTACAACTCTTCTTGATGTGATTGAGCTCTTTATGTGATGTGTGAATTATATGCCAATAAAACTGTTGGTGAACAAAGAAGAATACCGACATGCTAGAATAAATTCTTGTGCTAGTCTGGATAGACTAGAGACACAAATCCATAGACACACATATGTGTATAAGAAATTTATGTACAAGACCAATTAAACATTGAGAAAACATCC